TTGCTGTAGAAATTTTGTATGCTTGGCACCCTAAAACTCTCTTTTTGAGCGACAGACAGAGACAGTGAACTGAGAAACAGTGAGAGAGGAAGAGAGAAAGAGAGAGAGCACACAAACACACAGAAAATGCAGCAAAATGCGTTTTTCCGCATGCAACTGAATGCAAGTGTGTGTGTGTGTGTGCAACACCTAACTACAGCAGCATATTGCAACAAAACTCTACACACACGGATCCGCACACACACATATACATACACTCGCACACACTCACACACACAGAGCAAAACAAAATGCAATCAAATGGCAAAAATTTTGCCAGACTGAAATGCAACTAAAAACAAAATGTTGACTTTGCTTGCTGCATGCTGCATGCAACCCCTACAATAAAAAGGCTCTATGCATGCATGTGTGTGTGTGTGTGTGCGTGTGTGTGAGTGTGAGCAATAGCTGGAGTTGATGCACAGGGCCCCAGACAGTTGTTGGTGTGTTCATATAAAACAGCAAAAACATGAAAACATTTTAGTTGCATTTTCTATATATCCACACACACACACACACACATACATATATGTTTATGTGTATGTGTGTGCATGAATAATCCATGTAGTATATAGAAATTGCATCCCTTAGCTGCTGCACTGAATAAAATGTGCATAAAATAAATTTCATTTCATTTAAAATAAATAAAATTTCTCAAACCCACAAAAACTAAAATTTGTGCACCGAGCTTTAAGGACATTTTTAGCAAAGAGGCTGGGAGAGGGGGGCCGTTGGGTGTGGCTGCAGTCTGTCTGAGTCGACTTCCAATGGTCATTAGCTCAAAGCATTTTGCATTTTAATTGATTGCTCAGCTGCTGCTGCTGCTGCAGCTTTGTTGCTTTGTTGTCTCTGTGTCTTGGCCAAATTGCAGGTAATTTATTTAGACGCAAAATGTCATCAATTCTCGCATCTGACAGATACGAAAAGTATCTAAGCTCCTTTATCTATACTCAGGATGTCTAACTTTTTATGTGTGTGATGCTTAAAGATTTTCTTTATTTGCATGTGGGAGATGAAATGAATAAGCCTTGATATACTTGAAGTTTCTTAGTTTTTTATCTAATATCAAAAGTATTTCAATACTCGCTTAGAATAGATAGTCAAAGCAACTTTTTTTTTTTTTTTTTTATTTATTATATTATTTAAACAGGCTTTCTACTACCTAATTGACAGCTTAACAAGTTGAACAAAGTAACTTAATATTTAACAAAACAATTTGAAATGTAATGATATTAATTAAAATTGAGATAGTTTAAATCTTCAACCGGCTCAATCAATCAATCAATCTCAATACCCATAACTCTATAATCATATATGATATACATACTGAAAATATCAGAGTTAACGAATTCAAATTCTGTAAATTTTTCTCATCTCTTATATACTAAAACTATCTTAGTTCTCATATCATCAGTCTTATACCTGATAGAAAGTTAAACTACGTCGATTCTAGTATAAAGTAATGCCAAGAGATATGCATTGTATTAAAACGATTGCTATTATCCAAATATCCCAGAACATGGAGAAAGGAAATACATTTCTATGAAGCTTAAGGCCAAGAGGATAGACACATTATTGGATTAGATGTATGCATATCACATATATTATATATAAATACATACATATGTAGGCATATATTAATATCTAACTAAAACAGATTTTTATAAAGGAAAAATTGATTACAAATTTTAAATGGTGTAAAAATTCAATTCAATTCAATTCAATTTTTTTGTGTCCATACATTTGATTTTTATTTAAGATCTATATATATACGATTATATTGCATATATTTATATATATTTTATTTAAATGCCTCTTTTATTTCTACTTTACAAACTTAATGTTTATATTTAAGTTATCATATACCAACTAAAATCCCCATAACTCGGTATGGGGTTCGGCTCTATTATTAATTTACCTTCCCTGTGTTGTTATGGTTATATTTTTGATGTACCGGTTCTACACTAAATAAATATATACATAAAAAAAAAAATCATATACCATCTTATCAACTTATTTAATTTCATATTTGATAAAATAGTTATATCAACTACGAATAGTTGAAGAATAAATTACACTAGAGTAGCTCCACACAACACCAAACAACAATTTAATTATAATAAAATCCTTTTGGGTTCATAAATTATTCAGTGCCCCTGAACGTATGCAATGAAAGTTTAGCAAAGGCGCCGCAAATTGGACGCGAATAAGTATGCTACACTTTTTACTCACGCTGCAGCGCGCTGAAGCTTTGAGGCGCAGCTTATAGAGAAAACTTGCTATAAACTAATATATCAAGCTAATATAATTTAAGTTTATGTAAACTAATATATAAAGCTAATCATATTATTTAAATTGTTTATATACTTAAGCAAATTGTATTCTATTTATGAACACGTTAAGCTAACTTTTTGCTAATTTGATTTAATGATGTATTCACATTCAAGGACCTTGACGTTCTGAGCAGCAGTAAATGAAATGCTAAGTGCATAATAAGTTTTGTGGCAGGAACAAGCGGCTTGCAACACAATGGACAGGCGCAGCATGTGGCATAATCAGAATGCTGCACAGAGGCTATAATCAGACACGGAAGACACAGTTAAGCAGGCAGAATATGGGAGTTGTGGCAGTGGGAGTGGGGAGGTAGGGCAAAAGGACACGGCTACGGTTACGGCTACGGACACGGACACCATTAACCAAAAACGTTGGCTGAAGGGTACGAAACGTCCTCGACCTAGTTCAATGTCAATGTCATTGTGCCACATTATCGCCGTTTGGCATCGTCGTTGGCAACGGCGACGGCGACGTCGTCGTCCTTTGGCAGGCTTGGCCTTGGCTGGGAGTGAAACGAGCGCACGAGTCGAGGCCACGGCCACGGCCACGAACATTGCCCAAAGTGGCACACGGCAGGGCCCAGGACCCCAAAACCAAATCCAGACCAGTGGCTGGCCCCAACCCATCTCATTCCATCCCAGCCCATCCCATCCCAGGCGCCTCTCGAAATGAGGCTCAGCCATGGCGGAGGATGTTGCAGCGTTGGTGCTGCATGTGCCAGGCGTTTGGTGGCGATAATATCCTTGCACTTGTGCGGGTCCTGTCGCGAGGCTGGGGCACCACACAGCACACACACACAGACACAGAGACACACAGACAGAGGCTGGCAGCCAATCCACCAACAGCAGTAGCAGCAGCAGCAACAGTAAACTCGTCTCGTTGCCTCCTTTTGGGCCGTGTTGTTGTTTTGCCGGCCGGGTGCAAAGACCCAGCTACCAGCAGCCAGCAGACCCCCAACTCCAGTTGGCAATCGCGTTGCACTCCGTGCTGCAGCTATGCCATCCAGACACCCACGCCCAGCATCGCCAACGCCAACGCCATCGTCAGCAGCGCCAGATCCGAAACGGGGACCACACAGTCGACGCCTAAATGGCCCCAATGCCTCACTCCATTTGCATTTCACCATCAGTCAGCCAAACAGCCAGCCCAGCTTCTATTCTGTATTGCTATCTCCTTCTAGCTATCTCGCTCACGCACGAACTTCGCCTCCCCCAGGAGACCGAAACATCAGCACCCGACGAAGTCTCCATTAAGCCCATAGACAAAGGGTTTGAGTTACGTGCCGTTACGTATGTTCTCTACATAAAAGTGCTCTCTCTGACTCTCTCTGTGTGTGTGTGTGTGAGTGTGTTTTGCTATTTAAAGTCGTAGCACGTCCAGCAGCGCCAATGTGTATATATATTTGCATTAGGGTGTCTCACTATAGCAATCTTTTGAAATTGTAGTTAAGTATTGGTAATATATACCTATAAATTCATAAAAATAGTAGCACTACTACATAAAACTTAAATCGAGAAAATGTATTTATTATTCGTTTATATTAATACATTATTATATTCAAACATTTCACAAAATTGTGGTAATATTTAAAATTAGGGTTTTAACGAACATTGTGTATGTATATATTGTTAACTTAACTTAACAAATAATATTTTTAATGATACAAAAATTATTAATATTATTAAATAAATTTAATTTCTTCAGCAATTACTTAATAATAATTAACATAATAATTTAAAATTTCATTTGTATACACACATATATGTATCAGAATTTTTCAACAAGAATTCATTAACACTTAAGCTAAAAGTACCACAAACGAGTGCTAGACTTAACAAATATTTATCTTGCGGCTTACTAAACGTTTGTCGCACGCCACCTTCAAATCCGCTATGCCAAAAAAAGCTGTCATAAAATAACAGTTGTTTACATTGTTGCTTTTACTGACCATTGCAGTGGAAGAACTGGAAAAGAGAGTAGCTGAGAGAGGAAGAGCAAGTGATCGAGAGAGAGAGAGTGGCTGTGAAGCAGAAATGGGTTAAGAATCAAAGTGGGCAACAGGCGCAGTCAAAACACAAACACCAAACGGGTCGCATTCCAGCGCCGGCTGCGCAGTCAGCGAGCGCGAGCAGCAAACCACTGCGGCTGCGCAGACACCTTGGCCGCCGAAGTTAGTGCGCGTCGAGATCTTAAGCGAGCAAGTCGACAGGTTGCGGAGCGAATGACCGAATGAGTGGAACAAAGCAAAAAGCAGAATAAAGGCAACTTAAAATATGCGTGTGTCTCATCGTCGCTGACTCACGTACACAGCAGAAATATATTTTTAGTAATCTCTTCTCTTGCTGCTGCTGTCGCTGCGTGTGAGCGCGTGTGTGTGTGTTTTGAACTTTCTTCGAGGCTGCTGGGCGCTTGTGCCTGATATTTGTGAACAGTGAGAAGCAACAACAACAACAACAACAAAGCAAACAACACGAACAAGTGGCATAGTGCAAAATCAAGTTTCTTGGCAGACGTGGCAACAAAAAAAAACAAACAAAATAATTAGGAAGTCTAACATTATTCAATTCACAATCATATACTTATGTCAAGTATTAAAAAAGTGAAAGTGTGAGGAAATTGGCAAACTAAAAAAAAAAAAAAATAACAAAAACAAAACAAAAGAAAAYTAAATTCTCACGTTGCAACAATTGTTGCAGTTTACATCATGTCCAGCCACAGCGTGCAACGGCGCAAAACAGCGCGCTCCAAGTCAAAGCAAAAACAACAACAACMGCCAGCTAATGTTGCGGAAAACCTCATCGACAAACAAAACGCCAGCAATGAACAAAACGAAAGACTTCACTTTCGCAGCCGTTCAGCAACCTCAGCAGCGCCGTCGACGGCAGCAGCGGCAGTGCCACTCAGCTGCATTTCATCTTCACCATTGTGCTGTAATGGTATACTGCCCACCAGCGCGGTCTCAGCCATGCTGAACTGTTGCCGCGACATTAACTGCCATTTGAATTCACCACTGCGCGGCAGCGTTGAGCGCAGTCGACGCTCAGAGAGCCGACAATCATTTCTAACTTCGGAGACGATAACAAGAACAACATCTTCGCCTACGCCTACCTCTACATCAAAACAATCGCGTTCTCGTTCCCATTCTCATTCCCATTCCAGTTCCCGTTCGTCGTCGTGTAGCGTCAACGACAATCCGCACAAGCAGAGGGAAGGCAGCGCAGCTGGCGCGGACAGAGTTGGGAGAGCGCAATTAACCGTTAGCCTGCACATCGATCTCATCAGCTGGGGTCTGTTCGTGCTCGCATTTATTACGCGATTCTATAAGCTCGCAACGCCCGCGCATGTTGTGTACGTAATGAATATTAAGGGACTTATTTATATTAATTAATTATAATTTAATTCTGAAATTCACAGTTTCGATGAGCTGCACTTTGGMAAATACATTTCGCTATATATGCGCAACATCTTCTTCTTCGATCAGCATCCGCCACTGGGCAAGCAGCTGATAGCTGGCCTGGTCAGCTTCGCTGGCTACGACGGCAATTACACATTCTCACGAATCGGCACCCCCTATGGGCCGAATGTGCCCGTCTTCTGGCTACGCTTTCTGCCCGCTCTCTGTGGAAGTCTGCTCGCGCCGGCAGTGTACCATCTGCTGCTGGAAGCGCGGCTGCGTCGCTGGTCGGCAGCGCTTGGCGGCTTGCTCGTCGTGCTGGACAATGCGCTGCTCACGCAGTCGCGCTTCATTCTCATGGAATCTATGCTGCTGCTGGCCAGCACTGTGGGCATTAGCTTCCTGCTGCGCTTCCAGCGCTGCTCGCTGGGCAGCCTCAAGTGGCTGAGCAGCGGCGCGGCGGCTGCGCTGTTTCTAGCCTGCGCTGGCTGCATCAAATATGTTGGCTTTCTTGCCATGGGACTTGCGGGCTATTTGCTGTGTCGCCATCTCTGGAAGCTCCTCTACGATGCGACTTTGACAAGTAAGTCAAGCAATGATTTAAGAGCGGTATTCAGAACGAGAGAAGAGAAAGTTAGTGTAATGTAATGGATACACTCTCTCAGATAAGAGGTTGTTAGGGATGTTGGGAATTATTTAATGCGATGATATGTACATATATGTAAATAATGAGATGCAGAAAGTATGATTGATTTAGTAAGCAAATTAAAAGGAGAAAAAATTATAGTGGTATGTTTAACAATTGAATATGTGGCTAAGGTATTTTTTAGCAGATATTGAGATATAGTGTTGTTAACAATAGTATACAACAAGAAAAAAGAACAATATTAACAGTCAAATATATCGACAGAGTTAATTAACATAATCTTTATTAATAACAAAATGTACGTTAGAGTAAGAGGTTTTCATATTAATATCAAAAGACTATCTAAGTCGATGATATACACAGAGAATTTTCTCGCCGATAACCATAATATATAAATCTGAATGAGATAAGAAAAACAGATTGTTGTGAACCAAATACGCATATTGAATGATAATATACATGTGAAGAGACTGAGATTGAAAATAGAAAGAATGAAAGAGATATAGTGAGTGAGATAGATAAAAATACAGTTACAGGGGCATACAGAAAGATCGATAGATAGAGTAAGTTAGAAACAAAAGGCAAGGGAGAGATAGGGGAAAAATAGAAGAAAATAATAAAATATAGAAATCAATCATGAATCAAATCAACCCAGAGCTAGACAAATTAATAGAGTAAGATTGAGATTTGAGGTTAACAAGTTTCTAATATTTACCATCTTAATCATATGATCTTTACGACCTGTTGCATAGAACTTGACGAAGAGGAATCTATATACCTGACCTGTTTTAGTGCAGACTTGTTTACTCTCTCATTCCGTTGCCACCTGCTCAACGAAGAAATATTAAAGATCTCCTCAAGCTCAACCTTGTTTATTTCACCAGATAAACAACTGTGGATGCACGCCTTAAGCAGAGTGTTGCTGTTCGTGGGCATTCCCTTGGCCGTTTACCTGGGCGTCTTCTACATTCACTTGAGGACGCTGCATCGAGCGGGGCCACACGACACGATCATGACGAGCGCCTTCCAGGCCTCGCTGGATGGTGGCCTGGCCTCGATCACGCGGGGTCAGCCGTTGGCTGTGGTGCACGGATCGCAAATTACGCTGAGGCACACGCACGGACGCACCTGCTGGCTGCACTCGCACGCAGCTGTGTATCCTGTGAGGTATAAGGATAATCGCGGCTCCTCGCATCAGCAGCAGGTGACATGCTACTCCTTCAAGGACGTGAACAACTGGTGGATTGTGAAGCGACCGGAGCGAGATGATCTGGTAGTGGGCGATCAGCCGGATGCCATCAAACATGGCGATGTCATCCAGCTGGTGCACGGCATCACTAGCCGTGCTCTCAACTCCCACGACGTGGCTGCCCCAATGACGCCTCAGTGCCAGGAGGTCAGCTGCTACATAGACTACGAGATCAAGATGGCCGGCGAGCTGCTGTGGCGCGTGGAGATCCTCAACCGGCAGTCCGAGGGCGACTACTGGCATGCGATCAAGTCGGAGATACGACTGATACACGAGACCACAGGCGCGGCGTTGCGCTTCAGCGGACGACAGCTGCCCAGCTGGGGCTACAATCAGCACGAGGTGGTGGCCGATCGCGAGAGGCAGCATCAGGACGCCATCTGGAATGTGGAGGAGCATCGCTACACCAAAAGTAAGTCAGAGACAGTAGACAGAGTTAGGCAGAAGTTACTATACCTTCATCTCGTGTCCCTACAGCTCAGGATCAGCGGGAGCGAGAGCGCCAACTGCTCTCCGCCGAGATGATTCCCACACATCGCACCAAGCTCTCCTTCTGGTCCAAGCTGCTGGAGCTGCAGACCAAGATGCTGTGGCACGCCAAGCAGCTGCAGAGCCACATGTACAGCTCGCTGCCGCACGAGTGGCCACTGCTGGACAAGGGCATCGCCTACTGGCTGGACAACAGCTCCAGCGCCCAAATCTATTTGCTGGGCAACGTGCTCATCTGGTATGTGGCCAGCGCTGGGCTCGTAGTCTATGCCTCGCTCCTCGTCTTCTATGCCTTGCGGCGCCGTCGCTTGTGCTTCGATATCTCGACCAGCGAGTGGCGGCGCTTCGTCAGCGCTGGAGACACTTTCTTTGTGGGCTACCTGGTGCACTATTTGCCGTACTTCTTCATGGATCGCACGCTCTTCCTGCACAACTACTTGCCGGCGTTTGCCTTTAAGCTGCTGCTCCTCAGCTTCGTGCTGGATCATCTGGACTATTTGCTGAGACGCCATTGCAGCGGACGGGCCGTTCACTTGGTGCGCCTCTATCGTCTACTGCTGATCGTGTGGCTGGTCGCAGCCGCAGCGACCTTTTTCAAGTTCTTGCCATTGAGCTACGGCTCACGAAAGATGTCTGCCAAGGAGATAATTGACCTGCGCTGGAAGGACACCTGGGACTTTATACTGCAAAAGAACTATGCATTGCATTAAGACTGTCTCTTCCGCATCCCACTTCCTCGACTCGACTCCACTGTACCTTGTACAATAAATCGCAATACTTGAGTAGGAGAAGCTAATTTAAAAAGTTTGGCTGGAGCCAAGCCAAGCATAAGTTATTAATATCCTGTTCTTAACTCAGCTAATTCAGCTAATAATAAAATTATTTATTTATTTAAATGTCAACATATGTGAAAGTTTCTTGTAAATATTTTGTATATGTAATATTAATGTGGACTTTAGATCTGTATATGAGTTAGACGAAAGTTAGGCTTACTGTATTTATAGCTGATGGCCCTCTATGCAATTCTCAATGTTTTAAACTCCTGCTCCTTTGTTAGTGCTCTATTTAAAGCTCTGTTAAACTAAAAAGTAGGCAAGCTTCTAGCATAGCCTTAACAATCAACATTTCGATTTCAAAGCAGTTGAACCGTAAGCCAAACCCTAGTGAAACTTACATTGAAGACTTTACATATATTAGCGAACAAGAGTAGAAATGGCCAACACAGGACGCTTCAAGGACCGCAGCCCGGATATCCGTCCAGCTGGATTGGCCTCGGTGCTGGAACCGGACAATTCGACCGGCACCTGCATGACCATCTCGCACATCGAGGAGCTGGCCGAGCATCTGATACGGCAGGACTGCAAGCGCAGGCAATTGAAGAATGCAGGGCTGCTGTATGCAGAGGCGCCGTGCCTACCGAACGTCAGTGTGCCGGAGCTGATGGCCATGGAGAAGTCCAAGTCCCGTTTCATGATGTTCAAGGAAAAAATGTCGGAGGATATGTACCTCAAGCAGGCCAAGCTCGGCGAGGTGATGCCCACCGGCTCCAAGCCCGATCATATTAACAATTTGAACACCACCTTCGGCTGTGAGACGAACTCGAGTGGCGGCGTCTACGATATCATCTTGCCGCGCAAGCCGGCGGAGCAAGTGAATCGTGAATATGGCAAATTTCACGACAAATACATCCTCAGTCACAATCACTATTTTCCCTCGGAGCAAATTAATCGCAGGTACAAGAGAAACTCGACCTCCCTCTCTCTCTCTCTTTCTCTTTGTCTAATATCTTTACGCTTTGCAGGTACAAGGCGCCCTTTGACAGGCGACTCACCTATGGCGCTGCCTACAATGTCGACGTTACGGGCAAGATGGTGAAGCGTTGCATGCAGCAGTGCGCCGGAAATGTGATCATCATTAGCAAGGAGCAAATGGACTTTATAGATCGCACCTATCCGCGTCTGGGCAAAAAGTTAAAAAAGTAGGTGAAACCCTTAGCTCTGGCTCGGTCCTTCTCTAATTCCGTAACTCCTGCAGATATCCCTATTCGGTGCCCCAGCATGTGACCTTTGGCAGGCCATCCCCGCCAGACCTCTGTGACGGCAAGATGCTCATCGAGGACATATCGCCATGCCAGAGCAACAAGCATCTGATCGACGCCTTGGGTCATCTCAACATGTGGCGCCACAAGCTGCAGCTGCGCGCCGACTTCCAAATGTTCGATCTCATCTCGGTGCTGGAGCACAGTGATAAGGAGCAGACGCGTCATCTGCCGCTGAAGAAGATCTTCGAGGTGATGCACAAGATGCATCTGTATATCGATATCTACAAGATGCGCACTACTCTCTCGCATTTCAAGATGATCCTCGACGAGAACTGCCCCAACGAGCGCGTGAACTACGACACGTTCTGTCAGCTGCTCAACATACAGCATCCGCTGCCCACGATGGGAAATATATCAATGATGCCGCCGAATGTCTACAACAAGGATACCACCTATCGGCTGCTCTGCGCCGATCTTGGCAAGACACCGGTGGAGGCGGCGCCGTTGCTGAAGAAGAGCCCCAAGAAGACGGATGACGACAATACACGTGTCAAAGATTTGCTCACGCCGGATATAGCGACGCTGTATGGTCTGCTGCCCAGCGATTTTCAGATGCTGCGACCCAGGGACCATTTAGAGGAAATTTTTAAGGACATTGTCAGCGAAGCGGACTTTGAGACGATTTGGCAGCAGCTTATGAACACGCACAAGGACCAAGATGGCTTGGTCTCTATAGTTCAGTTCCGCGATGTCATGGACAATACCGAGCTTGCCGGCCAGACAGCCAATGCATAGAACAGTAAAAATTTAAATTAACACAAATTCAAAGTAACACGCGCAAAAATTAATTCAAATTGGAATTAGAGTAGAGCAAGCGCTTTTTACACTGCTTTGTCGATAATTAAAAAATTATAACGATATGAGATACGGCATTTTAAATATAACGATATTATAAATTTGCGCGATGTATTCACGGGCTTATCTATCGATGTAAAATCCTGCTGGATATCAAATTCGTTGCATCATGTATCAAATGCAAAGCCTAAACTTTTAATTATTTGAAGTCTCTGTAAAAAAGTAAAGTAAAAAGTATTAAAAAAATTACAATATCTGCACGACTTGGTCGATATATCCACAATAATACACGAGTGCAACATTTTAAAATTTACATATCGATATATCTGTTACTGCAAAAGATAACGCTCATTATATCGATATTCGCTTCGCAATATATTTGTATCGATAAGTCTCGCATGATTTCAAAAATTAGTTGCAGCTAATATGAAATTCCGGAGACCTGGCGTATCCATTGTAAATGATGAGTCACACGGATAAAACCAGCTGGCGCTGAAGAGAGGCAACTGCTAGCATCGCTGAACGAGGTGATACCAATCAGCTTGGGCTCATCATACGTGACCAGTGGACCGCCGGAGTCGCCATCACAAATGGATCTGCCTTCGGGTGTGCCCACACACAAAACGCTGTCTGGGAGCTTGCCATAGCTGCGTGAGCACTCAGCATTGCTGATCACATTCAAGTCGATGCACTGCAGCCAGTCGGGCATATCGCTGGCATCGGAGGTGCTGCCCCAGCCACAGGTGATAACCGCAGAGTTCTCGAAAGTCTCCTCAAGCTGATTGAGGCCAGGCAGCTTCACCTTGTTGACCAGCGACCAGAAGTCCACATGTGGCGTGCGTATGAGCGCAATGTCATTGCCAATGCTGCCCGGCCAGTCGGGGTGCTGCACCACATCCTCGATGCCCACCTCCAAGTGGAAGAGCGCCTGCGTTCGCCTCGTGGCTCCATAGTAGATGCTCACCCCATCAATGTGATCCGTGCAGTGGGCCGCAGTTAGCACCCAGCTGTGATCTATGATCGAGCCACCGCACCACCTGCCCATCTGACCCTCACGTAGCAGCAGACCCACAATGTAGGGTGCTTGCCCCACAACAGCCGGATAGCCATTGGTTATAATGGAGTCCGCCGTGGCCGTCAAAGGACCAGCATGAACTTGGAGCGGGATTGAGAGCGCTAAGAGCCGAAGTGTTAACCAAGCGAACTGCATTGCTATTAGACTAATGTACTACAGCGAGAGTTAGCCAATGATATTTATAGAGCTTGAGTCTAAATTACTCAACTTGAAGTCGATTAGAGACTGTATTATCTTTAAGCTTAATGACTTTAGACATTAAGAACTTGGTTAATGGGGAATTCTGCATACTGACAGTATGCTCTATAGAGCAAAATATAGTAAGGAATCTCTGAATTATGAATGAATTTTAGGTCAAATTTGTTAACTGCAGAATACTTTTTTTACAGAGTAAATCTTAGCTTTTAAGAAATTCTTCAATCTCTATAAATGATTAACATATCTTGGTAACAAACTCTTAAGCTTAAGAGTAAAGTCTAGAAGTCAAATATAAATATCAGCAAAATCTCCAAATGATTTATAAATTCACAAACGCATTCACTCTGCAGATATACACACATACACACTTTACCCTAAAAAAAAAAAAATCAATTTACATTTCTTAAAGCTATTTACATTTTTATTTACAATATTCTGATTAATTTACTTGGCGTTGTCTAGAAAATCTTTGGCCTCGTTTATTTTTGCCGCCAAATAGGGAGACCCGCCGCGATCTGGATGATTCAGTAACATTATCCTTTTATGCGCATCCTTAACCTGGTGTCACAAATCCACAAGTCAGTAAAGATTAGTGACTGATCAACATGTGTTCCGCTACTCACCTTTAGCTTGGAGGCACTGGGACTGACGCCTAGTATGAGGGACGCTTCGCGCTTATTCATTTTGGGATCGAAGCCGCCTTTGTAGTATTTGGCATTGGCCATACTCTCAGCATCGAATTTAGGCAGATTCTTGAGCGCCTCGTTGAATTTGCTTGTCATCTGCGGCATGCGGCGCAGCAGGTGCTTGCCAGCGAAGCCCACTGCGGCCACGCCAAGGCCTGCTAGGATGATGGAGCTCGTCTTGTATTGTTGGATAGCACGCGGGTCAGGTTTCATTTGGTGCAGGGGCATTGCGTTAAAATATGAAACGAGTTTCGAAAAATTTATACATGTATTTCGGGTGTTTTATTTACAATTTTACACAAATATCTATTCTAAATTTTGTACCATTTTATGTAATCGATGTATCTGACGAAATCAGCTGTGACTTAAAATGTGATGACTGCTTGAAACATCATCTTATCGCAATGTTGTGCACGTTGTGGCAGTGAAATCGAAAAACACTATCGGCAAATATCGATTGCAGAACAGACGAAACTGCCTGTTTATAACGGAATATCGAACTATCATAATACAATTGTCATCATTTTTGTCGTACACATATCTAAAGTAATTTGTTTTGTTTCTTTTAAAATTGTCAAAGTGTTCAATACATTTCTGATGGAAGCATATACGCGAGCATACTCTCTAGTTCTGATACATTTATAACAATTGAGAAAACTTTCATATATGGCTGGAAAACTTGCAGGTTTCTAATTGGAAAGGGAATCGGACTAATAAATTAAATTCGAAAACAAACTTAAGCTAAAAACTAGGGGATACAACAAGTATTCATATTTAAACTAAAGAAACCAAGTGCAATTAGCGGCCCTTTCCATTTAAAAATTTCCATATGAAATTTTAATATGAATTCGCCTCCATTGCCAAGATAAGCGTAATTATTTTATTGTGCGCACAAATACTTCTATTCAATCCAGTAACTTTGGCATGTTTAGCTCGTTTTGTTTGCAAGACAAAAGCTTGACAGTTTCCATTCCAATAATCAAATTTTAATAAAAACCAAAATAAAAAGCAGCTGTTTTTTCAGCTGACCAAATATCGAAATTCAGTGTACAACAGCTGATTTTCCAAAACCAGGGCTGCCACAAGTGCTCAACAGTTGTGCCGCAGCTGCTCAGCTGTGGCTTGAAAACGAATTTAACTGTTCAAAAGAAACATGATTTTGTGCAGCACCTTTAACAAAATCACTTAATTACAAAAGTTTTCCACTAATATTATATACTAATTTAGTTTTTAGGCATTTAGAAAATTGAAAAAGTTGTTTGTGGAATTCAATCGATGTTTGTGCGCACTATCGATTAGTTTGACTTATCGATTCGTCTTGGTATCGTTCGAAACGTATCGGGCTCACACAAAACAAGTGAAGAAGAAGCGTGAAAATTTGATGTGCAAAGTTTTAAAAACGAAATTTTTCTATATTATTGATTAACAGAAGCAAAAAAGTGTCAATTGGTTTGATAGGTGATAAATTTGTGTGCCTGTGTCGTTGATGTGTTGTTGTTGGCGGTGCTGTTGGTGTTAGCTGAAGTAGAACAAAAACTACAAAAATATATATTTGGCGAAAGGCATCATCAGCAGTGAGCATCGAGCAGCCGTCAAACTGGAGCGTATTCCGGAGTATTTGCGCGACACGGTCGACTGGTTGATGGGGTAAGTGCGTAACGTAATCAGCTGCAGCAGCATAAATACCCAATGCGCAAACATTCAGATGCAAACGCAATGGGATGTGATTTTTTTATTTGTTATAAATAGTATGCAGCCTGCCCTAAAGACGATAACAGCGACGAAGCGACAACGAAGTCGACATCGACATCGCGACGTAACGTCGTCTCGTCGCTTTGTCGCCTCGTCTTGGTGGTGTCTTTTGTGTCCTCTGTGTATTGCTTCGTCGCCGTTTGGCATTTTGCCAATTGGCCTCATTTCGCATCTCTTTTTCGCCGTCAAAAGCAAAAACTTTGTTGTTATTTCGTCTGGCCTAGCCGCCATCACAGGAGTTTCATTTGCTGCTATTGTTTTTCTTATTTTCTACTTCGTACTGTTGTTGTTATCGCTCTGCCCTGCAAAATCAATAAAATCCATTTTTGTTTTTTTGTTATTGTTGTGTTATTATCGATTTCTCAAATGTAACGCAAGTCAAGTCGCAAGTGTTTTGATTTTTATCTACTCGCACGCAACCAATACACACAAGCATAAACACAAACACAAGCGAACACAGTTACATATGCACACGCACACACACAGACGCAGGCAGGCATGCTCACTCACGCACACAGATATTTATTTATGCACTTTGCTTCCTCGTGTCCATTCATCAAGGCCAAACTGCATTTTCGATATCGTTTATTTGTCTTTATCCTCGTTCGTTCGCTCACATTTTGACCCATTCGCTTTCCTCTACAACTACTCGCTTTCATTGTTACTGCGCCTATGGCGTGCTGCTGCTTTTGTTGTGGCTCTTCTTCTTCTACTTTTTTGTTTAAGTTTGTACGCATTTTTGTTGTTGTTGAGCGATAAGCGAAGCCGGTTTAATGAACTTGCCAATTTACTCACAATCTGTAATCAAAATGTAAAAACAAACAAAACACATAGCAACAACAACAAACGGTTTCATAGATCATCTAAATAAACGCACACAAAGGCACACTCTCTCGCACACACATACACATAAGTAAATACAAGAGAAAGAGAATTTGAAGAGAAGAATTATATATGTACATATGTGTATATGAGTATATGGACTTTTCGATACTCTGCAAATACAGTAGTCGCTGGAATTGTGAAGCAAATCTATAATTCATATTTATTTACAAATTAATAATTGTCTGTTAATTTAAAACAATAAATGTATGCAGGAATTGGCAGAAAAATAGAGAAATAATTAAAACACAACAAAAATTTATTTAATAATGTAAATTGAAAAAAGAAAAAATTAAGATAAATAAATTAAAATTCTATTTATTTGAAATGTATTTATGGACTTAAAACTTTTTTTAATATCAAATATTTTGAGGTTTTATCAACTTATTTGTTGTCAATTTTGTCGTGACAATTTAATATATCTATTATATAATTAATAAAAATATGTGAAAGTAAAATGACATGAGACTTATACAAATTTACTCAAAATGATAATATAATAAAAAACAAACTCGAAATACAGTTTGAACTCAATTTTTTAAATATAGATATCAATCAATTGCTTACATTTCTAGTAGCTACTGTATGCATTCATACTTCTATAAGTAAATATTTAAAAATTCCTATTTGACGTATACCAATTTCTATATTTAAATACGTTGGTAAACAATCAATAAATTAAAAGAAAACACATTTTTAATATTTTGACTTGTCTTTAAACAAAAATTTTAATTATATACATAAATAAAATTGTAAGGAAATCAAAATCGAAATCGAATGAATCAGATATTATTTTATTGAACTGTTTAAATTTTAAATTTAAATGAAACTATTCCAGTTCGGAAAGTTTAGATTGTAATTTTTATAGATACAAAATGTAACTTAATTTAATAGAGATGCATCCATCACTTCCATCGCTCACAATCCATCCGAAACATCGAGACCTTTTCTGGAATGAATTACGTTATGTGCAATCATATGTTTGCTTTAAAGAGGGTAGGGTAACTGTTAGCTAGAAATATCACATGTAACTTGTGTGTGGGGGAATTCAATTAGCCGAGATTATATATGCCAGATGCAACTGAATAATACAGACATACATATATATAATATATGACTAGGCATCTGTATGGGAGCAACCCTCAACTGTGTGGAAGGGATGGGAATAGCGGAGGGTAGTGCTTGGTGACCTTGAGGCACACTTAGCACAACTCTAATTGAATTAGACGACAGCCAAGCAAGAGCACATAATGGAATAGAGAGACGGAGAGTGAGAGTGAGAGAGAGAGAGATAGGTAGGGGTAGACCTAAGGGCAGCGAAAGTGGGAAAGAGCAAGCGATAGACATATGCAGTTCCAAGTTGCGAAATAACAACTCTTCACGTCCGGAATTGATTGACAGGGCTGACAAATCAGTTGGCTAAATCAATTCCTAACGGGTCGTGGGTAGGCCGGCGGGTCGGGAGGGCAAGACGTGCGGTTTAGTCGATGCTTCTTAGCGCTGGCCCTGCCGTAGACCCAGTGCCTCAGCTCAGTTGCTTTTGGGCCATCGGACGCGGCTGTTGGTTGGGTCCGTTCCATTCCATTTCGTTTCGTTGCGCTGCGCCATGAACTGGGCCATCTCGAATCTGACGGGCGGCAATCGGGTGAGCCGTGCGATACTCGTGCGCTACTCCTCGGTGCCGCTGGCCGAGGATGGCGGCTCCTCGATGGCAACGACGACGCCCGCAGCTGGCACGCCGCGCGCCTCGAACAGCGCAATGCATTCCTCGTTGTCCTCCACATTCGCAGCCACATTCCTGCGACAGCAGAGCAGCAACAGCAACAGCAACAACAACAACAGCGGCAGCAGCAACAGCAGCAGCAGCAATCATAATAATAGCAGCAGCAACAACAACCACAGCAACAGCAGCAAGGGCCAGTCGAGTGGAGCTGCGAGTGGAGCTGGGAGCAATTCAGGCAATGCTCAGCTGTCGCTGCCACTCGATGTGGAGGAGACGGTCACCTGTTTTTGTCGGTAAGGCATCAGGATCGTTGGTAAGGGGGGAGGGGAGGTGTAGCAGAGGTAGCGGGAGAGGCCGAGCAGCTGCTTGTAAAGCTTCTCAATTTGTGAAAGTTAATTGGGCATTTAGCAAATATTTCTGTGTTTATTTTCTTTTAAAGCCATTTAGTTAATTTACTTAACACTTGCATAATACGCGCTTCATGACCAACTGTTTCTAAAGCCGTTAAATATATGTAATGTACATATGTGTTACGTACACAGATTTTAAAGCAATATATAACATAAGTCATACAAGAAAAAGTTTTGGTTCGTTAGAGGCTCACAAGAAATACTCTTCTGTGCAATTCTCATTGGTGCATTAATTATTAAAATTCAAATTTAGTATAATTATTAATGTAGTTTTAAAAAGAATACGATTTTTAAAAAAAATTATAGCTTATTTAGATATATATTTTTTATTTGAAGCTCTTCGATTACCATTTATGTTTGCTTATGAATATTGAAATCAATCAAATCTGAACTGATTTAGATTGTCTCTAACTACTTATTTAAATTCTCATTATTCCAATTGGGAAATTCCACTCTTCCATATATTCTGCCATTCTCTATTTGTCGTTATCGACGATTCTCACATATCTAATTTGCTTATAGAGACCAACATATGAAAGCAAAATTGTTTTAGATTGTCTCTAAATGCTTATTTAAACTCTGTATTTTTTCAATTGGCCAATTCCATTCTACCTCAGTTTCTAATTTTTCCTACTCATTTTTATTTGCCTACATTTTTATGTAGTATATAAGCAATGCTATTAAAATATCAATCACAAAATATCAAGGGTCTCTCTATTAGCCAAACAGAACACATTTTTAAATACAATACTATACTACAATACTACAGCTTTAGTAAACAGTACCCAGAGAGATACCATTAGATCAAAGTTAAACTGTTCTTAATTATTTTTAAATATTATTGCGTATTTTTTCAATCCCACTATTTCTGTTTTCTCGCTGCCAATAGATCAAAACTAAACCGTCTCCATACACTTAAATTCTGAATTTTTCCAATTAGAATATTTTCTGTCTTCCCAGTTTCTCCCACATTTCTAATCACTTCAAGTTTATATTTTACATTAAGACAAATCAATAAACTCGTAATTTACTCACATTTTCAAGGGTATCTTTAGTACGAGCACACAGCTTTATCTCATTTCACTTCCATTATTTTTATTCATTTCGTTCAAGTCAATTGGATAGCATAAATAAACAAGAAACTGCATAGCTGAATGGTTGTGCGTTGGAGTGAGATGGCTATTGTTATTGCGCACCCTTCGCTTTGCTCGAGTCGTTCGCAGAAACAGCTGATTATGATTTCGGCTGCTGTCCCATTAGTCTGACTGTGTTTGTAGTTGTTGCTGGCTTTTTCTTGTTTATTTTATTGCTTGCTTCTCGGGAATTGCTGAATTTGTGTGTCCTGCGTTTTAGCTGCGCATTTAACGCAATTCCCATACCCAAATTCGCCTCAAACTACGTTTGCTTTCTATGGTTTCCATTGGCAGACGCACGCAGTCGAAAAGAAACCCCGCAGCGCACATAAGCTTATAGCTAGCAAACTATCTAGCAAGGGTGTAGGAGGGGGAGATAGGGAGAGGGCAAAGGATAGGTCAATGCTGGTTCACACCTACGACGCAGTTTAGCACTGCTCGTATTATCGCGCCCCCTTTTGGACACAGACATAAATCACCCAGCGGCTGTCCACAAATGTGTGTGTGTGTGTTTGTGTCTGCGTTTGTCCATATGCATATGTACATATGTACATGTGTGTGTTTAAGCTTGAGGCGCCTCATAAAAGTCATAGTTTGCTCTTTTATTCATTTCGTTTTCATTATTATTATTTTTTTTTTTTGCGTACTTTCAAATTTGATGGCTACATCTGACGTCATTTGTAGTGCGCATGACCCACAGCAGTTGCCGTTGTTGTTGTTGTCTCTTGTGTGGTGGCGTGACCGACTAAACGGAACTCCCGTCGCTGCCACACCGCAAGCTAAGAAAAACACATCAGAGATTAGTAGCAAAAAGCATCCCATAAACAAGCCGCAAAAACAAAACACAACTCACACCAATACATAGACATAATTGACGATCGCAAGAGAGCGTGAGATAGATAGTGAGAGGCAGAGAGAGCGGAATGAGTGCTGTTTATTTTTGCTTCTGCATATGTTTGTTGCGGTTGTTGTTATTGTCAGCAGGAAGTGAACGTTTTGCCTACTCTCTCTCCCTCTCGCAAACGCTCTATGATATTTTATTTAGGCTGTATTTATTTATTGTTATTTACATATTGCTGTATATAAACAAGACAAATGGAAATGGTATAAACAAACAATTTATAGGTCAAATGAAACTCAAGTTTTATACTAAACAAAAATATCACTTATAATCGACAGCTGATCTAAATCTGCAATTTTGTTTTGGTTTACTGTTAAAACAGTTGCTCGTATATGTTGGCAAGTGGGAGGGAAAGGGACATGAGTATATAGTGTGTGTGTGTGTAAGATAGATCGTGTGCCGTTTGATTGCTGGCCGTCTGCACTCGACTGCAACGAGGCTGCAACAGTCGCTGCAATAAATAATGAGCGCAAAGCAATTCGAATAATGGCGAATTGCTTGCGTCGCGGTCGACGTTGCCGTCGTCGTCGACGGTTGCTTGATGAAACCGCTAGAAAGCAGCCAAGCAGCGCCGTTGCAGTACATAAATACGTATGTATGTATGCGTGTGTGTAGATGTATATGCTTGTGCGTGTGTACAAAGAGTAGCCCAAAAAATAAAATAAATATTTGAAGTGCAAATGAACTTACAGACGGGTCGACACGACTGACTATATGGTACGCAGCAGTTTCGATGCGGGCGGTCACAGGTGTTTACTGACCAGGAGGACAACGAATGACCCAAGAAGCACAAGACAACACAAAGAGAACGCATCGAATTGCTGCCCAGAGCATAGGCATGCACTCTATCTCGGTCTCTTTCTTAACTACCGACAGCAGCTGGGCTGATGTGCGTGTTGTTGTTGTTGTTGTAGTTGTAGTAATTGTATTTGTGTTGAATGACGGCGCGTCTTTTTTCCTTTTTTTGATTTTGGCATTTGATTCCGTGGAAGTCGTGAACCAAATGCAGTTCCTGTGTTATTTTGTTTGTTCTTTGCCTTTGGGTCTCTCTTTCTTATCAATGACACACACAAAGCGTGTGATAATTACACATAAAGAGGAGTAGGGGGTGCTAATGGCATTACAAAGGCATTCACATAAGAGGTTATGCGGGTCACAAACTTTGGGAAGTCCTGTGGTACCTGAGAGTCCCATAATTAAGGTGTCTGCATATTAAATTTTCGAATAAATTTTACTGTATTCTAATTTCTTTCTCTTTTTTCTTGCAGGTAAGTTTCTCCAATGTGGCCATCTATTACATGTACAAGATAAACTAAACTATCAAAAAGGGTAAATATAAAGGAATTGCTTATATGTTTAAAACGAAGTCGAATTTCTCTCAATCGAAATCTACTCTAAAATAGCTTCTGCTCCTTTCAAAAATAGTAGCAAATTTTACTACTATTGCAGTTACCTTCTCTGTGACAGTCTGGCAACTCTGTCAGCTGTCAGCTGCTCGCTAAAATTACAATACGCGTTTGTATGTTTGTGCTCGCCGCTCAGCTGATGCCACGCAGCGAGCGAGAGCGTAAGTTGTAAGGAGAGCAACCAAGAGAGAAAGAGAATGAGAGAGAGTGTGTGTCAAACAAGTGGTTGTGTGCTGTGAGTATATGTATACATCTGTTCTGGTCGTGCTTGGCTGCCGCATTTGTATGCAAAGCACACAACGAAACATTTACTGCTCGCTCTCACTTGCGCTCTGAGAAAACCAGTTAATAATATATCTGGATATATATACTCTATGCGTGTTCAAGTCTGTCAGTGTGTGCGTGCAGCGACTGCGGCGCTTTCGAGCCAGCAGTATTAAAAGAAACTAACTGCAACAACAACAACAAACACAACGATACACCATCATTCGCCATCGTCATCTTTGGCTGTATGCTCTGCTTTCGTTCGGCAGCTTCTGTGTGTTTTGCATGAATGTGTGTGTGTAATGTTGCATGTGTGTTTGCCAGTCAGTCAGTCAGTCAGGCCAGGCAGCTGTCAAAGTCTTGCTGCCTGCCTCAGTATAGAAATTTCCTTTGGCACGTTTGGTCGCACGGTTCCGATGTCTCCGTCGTCGTTGTCGTCGGGTCGCCGTCTAAACTCCGTGACTTTACGTTTTTGACTTTGTTTGGAGGCGCGCATCAGATTAACAAATTTTAATAACAAAAATAAAACAATTTAAAAGTTATAAAAATGCAAAAAATATAGCCGTAAATAGTGAATACAAATAAACTGTGAATCCTGAAAAGCAAAATAAAAAAATAAAAATACAAAAAAACGTCAAGTAAGCAAGAAGGAGTTCACTATACTGTGTCAGTGTATGCGTTAGCGTGCATGTGTGTGTGTAAGTGTAAACTGTGTCATTCACAGCTAACTGCATACGAGTTTTCAATACATATACGGCAAAAATAAAGTATAAAAAAATCAAACTGTTTAGCTACCTCTTCAGCAGTAGCCGCATTACAACTTTTATTATTGGAGTTGTAGTTGTTGTGTTTGTTGCTGCCACGGTTTGTTGCTTCAGCAGCAGCAGCAGCCCCACCAGTAGCTTTGCAAAACCGGCGAAGCGCGACTGTTGCCAATGCAACGCTTAGAATTGGCACAGCAACAAAAACAAACAAACAACAACAATAATAACGGTTACGGCGCATCGAGCTTTTGCTTTGGCTAGTAACTGTAACCAGTAAGCAGCAAACTAGCAGCCGCAACAGAAGCAGCAGCGCCGTCGGCAGCGACAGCATCTGCAAGCGCCAGTTGTTGTTGCTGTGTTAGCGTTTTGTCGCTTGCTTGATTTTATTTCTGTATTTTTTTAACCACTTCCTTTGCCGCAGTGGTCTCTGCTCTATGTCACTTCCTTACCGGACGTGTTTCCTGTCATCCCCTGCACATTCGTACCGTCAGGTGGCAACCCTCAACCCTTGGTGCAGACAGTGAAAAAAAGCACCGCCTGCATGGCCTGTCGCACTCTTTTACAATGCAGTCCCTTCACAGTTATTTCAAGTAGCGGCAAGTTTCGTGCAAGTGCGTCACCACCTACCAAACGTCGCACAGTGTGGCAAAAATCGATTGTGTTTTATGCTTAACACCAGAAATTGGGCAAAAACAAAAAGAATGGAAGCGTGATGAAATGCGCTTTGGGGTTTTATGACAATGGGGGAATTTTTTATAGGCCTACAGAAATTCATGAAAGTGTGTATACATATTTAAATATGAATATAAGAAGTTAGATAATATTGTCTATATATACATATTTGCGCATATGTAAATATATACATACATATGTATATACATATTACATTTAATACGATTGATACATAAAATTTCCCAATTAGGGAAATTGTATATTACGTTACTTAACTTCAAAGTTCTAGCCGATCTAAGGGTGTGAAATTCCAAGTTTAAATACTATAATTCTCCTATTAGGAAATTATTAGAGGATTTCCCGCCCCGTTTGATCGCTGGGCAATTGTAAAACGTCTTATTACCTGTGGTGCATTCAACGCTCGTTGCTTTGCTCACGTCACCAAGCAACAGCAACTGCAACAACAACAACAAGAACAGCAACGCAACGCAGGTTGAGTTGATTTTGAGAAACTAGTTTTTATTTCTTTTGATAGTAATAATTCTACTATGATTCAAGACCGAGTAAGAGGAATAGAGAGAGTGCGAGAGAGAGAGAGAGAGAGAGAGAGAGAGAGAGAGAGAGCGAGAGTGTGTGTGTGTCTTAGAGCAGGGGCATTGATTGTGTGACTTCCTTGTTTCAGTTTCCATTTGCTCTGTTGCCATTTCGTTTCGCCATGCTGTTGCTGTCTCCTTTTTCGTCTTTGGCTAAATGCTCGTTTGACCTTTAACGGTGCTTTGCCTGGTCGCGACTTAAATACACACACACAGACTTAGAAAAAAGTCAACAATTAAGCTCATTCAAAATGCGAGCATGGAAATTTCAGCGTACACTCGACGACACGATATTAGAATCACTTCATAAATTTTGATATAATTGTTGCGTTGCGGTGGGCGGTCGGTGGCGGGTGTGAAAGCGGTCTCAACACTCGAAATGTAAGAAGAAGAAAACAACAACAAAAGTAAATAACAAAAACAAGAGAGGAAAAAAAACAGCAAATTGACTTTAATGCGAGTTGAAGGTTAAGCGCGTTGAACGCGACGCGGAAATTGAACGAGTGAACGGCTTGATTCACTGGAAGGGTGGGGGGAAATGGCCATTGGAATTGATTTCGTGGTTCGCTTGACAAGCTGCGAAAAAAAGAAGACGTAGAAAAGGAAAACGGCAAACAATGAAGACATTATTGCAAATAATTGTATGTAAATAAATGCATAAGGTGATAATGCAGACCCAACATGAAGTTGGCTGTGGTTAATATGGCGAATATAACAAAATCAAAAACAAATGCAAACACCGATGTCTACAAGAGTCAGGAAGTGGGCTGGCTTCCAGAGCAGTTATAACCTCAAGACGTAATTTATTGATTTCCGATATGCGAATAAAGTTAGAGCTCGATACAGTACGAATAGTACTGAGTAAATTTATTGCACGATAGGGAAAAATACATTTAGGATTGAAAAGGTATCAATTGCTTTGAAATATTCATTTCAACCCCTCTTTAATCATTCATTAATAATTTAGTAGCTGTTCATTGTAGCTCGTTCGCACTGTAGTTTCGCTCGTTCGATTGCTTGTAGGCATTTCTCTCTGTCGAATGGACAATTTTTGCTGCGAACTTTTTTCATATACATGTACATACTTTTATGTATGTGTGCATGTATGTGTATGTATATACATTTTGTATTTTATGCTTTTATAAATAACCTTAAATGATTTTTCTGCGCCACAAGCAAGCGACGAAAAGTGTCAATGTCAGCTCAGCTCGGCTCAGCTGTCGCWGTTACCCAACAAAACAACAACTGCTAAACAATAATAACAACGAGAGCAACAACAAG